GAAAGGTAATGCTGCAGAGAGGAAAACCACAGAGGCACCTGCTCAACTGTCAGATTGGACTTGCCATCATGTCTATATGTGTGTTGGAAAATGAAATTCAGGGATAAGCACATTAATAGTTAGCGTTAATGGAATCTGGGATTTCCCATGGCAGCAATGTTGCTTGATGGTATACGCTATTGTTACCTCTTGGGCCCTGGATTAAGACACACTTGTTTTTTTTCCCAAAGTCGAAAGAAATGCAGGTTACATGCAGTAAATAACTACCAAAAGGCCCGCAGGTGTGATTATATTCATCCTGTTCTGGATGTACATCCAATCTCTCTCCCTAGCTTTCAGACACCTGAACCGTTAATAGTATGGTTCCTTCTCATGGGGATCACCTTTCATGTTCAGCTGTGCAGCATGTACAGGAGGAAACAGTCCTCAACATTAATACTAATTATTTATATCAAATGCTATCCGTACCTTTTTTTTTTCCAGATGTAAATGATTTAGCTTATAATAACATGCTTATGGTACATTCATCTGGGCTTTATGTCTCCATTAGGACTGCTAAATCCCACTACAGAGAAGGAATGATGATCTGTCTGTTTCCTTTGGCTTGAATGAAAATAATATTTAAAATGTTTTTGAAGCCATTGATGGAAATGTTGTCTCAGTTCCTTGGCTGAATTTACTCACTTCACATAAGGTAAAGCCAGACAAAGGGAACCCAAAGGTAAAACACATTTTAATATTCAACCTTTTCATATTGTTCCACATGAGCAGCTGGAAATCTTTTCCTTCCTCAATACGCATGAGAGCAGGCAATTAATTTTAGGCTCCATCTCTACAAACCAGCATTTCTGTTAAAGTGTATGATGCTTTAGCTATGTGAGTGCATGATTTAAGTCTGGTCTGGCTTTATCCCAGTATGCGTGGGAGAAAAAGGATGGTGACAGAGGCGATTGTAGTTATTGCATTTAAACTGAAAAGAGGGGAAAGAGCAAAAGCAAAGAACATGATGGTGCTGTATCTGGTGATTGCCTGCTGTTTAACAGTCTTACATAATATTGTTGACTGACAAACATGACTCACTTGATGAACAGGATAAAAGCACTTAAAACAATAACAAAATAATAATGATGGACTCAGCTGTCATTTTGTTTTAAAGTAGGCCAAAGAACCAACAGTTATGTAGTCTAATTTAGATACTGTATATAGCGGTCTATGGATGAGACAAAAAAATACATATTAATCTATCACCAGATAAAAGGTAGTGTACAGCATTACGCCTGCATTGCCATACATTCTATTTTGATACCTCAGTAAAGCAAGAGGATCATCACTTATTATGTCAACCAAAAAGTAGCATATTGTGAGGATGAGGTAGTTTTAAGCAGTCTAAGGATTTCCGGAGCATGTACAGTACAAGCCCACTGCAAAGCTACAGCCTATATCCCCAGATGGAGATTGTGCTGATGAATGTTTCCGGTGTGTGTCTGCAATAAAGCCAAATCTGGCATTTCCCAAAGAGAGACCAAAGCAATTCTGCCTCTCACACATGCTGCATGACGTCTCTCTTCTACACGCCCACACACCACTTGCTCTCCATCCTTCCCACACTTCTCACTCACGCTTACCGCATACTGAGTAGGAATGTATCCACGCTGTTTGTCATGTGTAGACATGCATGTGACTGTTTGGTGGGGGCATGTATCCGTTCAGAAATTCTAGATAAGTCTAGAAGTTAGTAATCATTGCCGATTAATTGTCTTTCTCATGGCAGACGGTTGATCCATGGAGGTGAGATTTCTTTTTAGTATTTGTGGTACATTGTCGTATTGCTGTTAAATCCGTTTTTGTAAGCTTCCAGATTGTAATATGTGAGCCAATTCAGAGGAAGTGTAGAGAGTAAAGGCTTTATTGTGTTGCCCTGGGTATATACTCTATATATATATTGGCTATTCATATTGTGTCGTTTAACCGAATCTTATAAGGATCTTGTCAGATCATAGTTGGACGGAAGTCATCGGCATGTCTATGGCCTAAAGCTGGAGAGAGAAAAGAAGAAAGTTTCCTCTTTTTTGTTCTCACTCTGACAGTGGCACAGGATAATATTGCCAAGATTGTCTCTTTAAATCAGATCTGCTTTGTAGAAAAACTCTGGTGGGAGGAATTCCAGAATAAGAAAGCCTGTGCAGTAAAAAAATAGGTTACACAGACTGAAGAGGAACTATGTGCCCACCCGGAGTTCACTTCCTATTAGGTCATCTTCATTAAGTATTCTACCAAAACAGCAGCAAGCTTTAATTCAGGCCCAAGAGAAAATGTCTAGACGGTGTAAGTACAGTGGTGGAATAGCTGCATACTGAAGAAATGTGTATCAGCATATTGCACAAATCTGATCTGGAGGCAAGTCTAAATTGATGGAGCAATTAGGTTTAATAAACTGACCAAGAAAGAAAATGAAAAAGCAATTGATTATTGATATTTCTAAGATGGACTGATTGCAGTTCATATTGGAGGCGTTACTCTTTGTGCTGGTATTTGGACAGGTTTGACAGATGGATGATGTTTAAGATATGCAAGATGGAGATATACTGATGGAATCTATCAGTGTCTGGAAGACCATATTTGTTGGACCATATCAGTCATAGATTTTTTAATTAAGACAAGGTAACACATGGACAGCTCATTTTCACACATCAACTGGCATTTTACTCCTCTGTATACATTGATCTCTGTATATTTGGAATAGAATAATAAACAAGATAGAGCTGTCTGGTGTCCTTTTGCAGATAAAATATACTTGACTTTACTAGTAGCCTATACATTAGTATTCATAGGGTACTTTTTTCAAAAATAATAAAAATAGGGTGTTGTGTTTCGCAACGAATATATGAATTGTATATACAGTTATGTAAAGTGGAATTTACTGTGAACTGAATACATCTAATATAGCTGTCACGACTCAGCGTTCTTGGGGCTAATTTCACATTACCCCTCTATACTGCTCATGATCACTAGAGCGACATTTTAAACATGTCAACGGTCTCTGTGAAAATGTGCAACATATCACGCAGGAGGGTAAATCTTAAAGACATCGACGCTGATCACACGTGACTCCGGGGAAATAAATCGCCTTGTCCCCTTTAATTTCAATTTCCGTACGTGATATATATTGTGATCACCTGTCAGATGTGGCGCATGAGCACTGGATTGGGGGGCGGAGTGGATGCTGATCGCTCTCTATCGGCTGCCCTGTGCCCTCCATCCCTCGGCGATCAGACAGACACGGACAGGGGATATCCGAGGAGCTTTTGGCGAGGATAGGGAGACAGATCTGCTGTCGATGAAGGTACAGTTTCCTTCGCTTTCACGGGAATACCGCGCTTCAGTGTTTGACATTGTGACCGTCGAGGTTGAAGGATGCTTGGCTGCAGGATGGGAGGAGATGAGTGAGGGGGGCACAGAGCGAAGAACAGATGGTAATTCAGGAGATGTTTCCTATGACATGGCTTTAGCTGATTTACCTCGCTTATTTCAGCCGGTTTTAAATATCTCCAGATTGGAATACATTTAGACTTCTTCAACAGACTCCCGGTCAAGGGCACACAAATAGGTGATAATGGGGTTTTCTCTTCCCTTTTCTCTCCGGTCACCCGTTTGCACGGAGCTGTCATCACCTCTTACCATCTGCGGTCTAGAATGTTATCGGGTTCAGTAGTCGAAGGAAATGCATGGTGCTTTTTTTTATTTCGAGTAGGCTACATTCTACATCAGATCCTCTTAACCGCCTCTGGATGAACCGCTGCTGCCCGTGGGGCTGAGCGTAGTAGACTTCACGTTAAATCCAGCTGTTATGTAAAAATGATGTTGCTTTTGTAAAGGAAAGTATTCGTTTTCACTTCCCATGGATTATGTGATGGGCCCCTACCCGGATGTGCCTGCAGTTTCTGTAAAGAGAGCGCTATGTTTACTCGTCATGCTGCTGTAAAACATCCTACTGCATGACATTTTTCTCTCCCCGAAACTGGGTCGTATTTGAGTGATGAATAACATGGAATGCCCTGTCATAAATACAAATTATTCTACGGTGGAAGAAAGATTGTAACCTGTGAGTACACCTTGAATGGTCACTTGATTTGGGTTTGTAGTAGCCGGCTCTATTGAAAGCGATATCCGCCTCCTGTGTTGCACATTGCTCTGTGCCGTATGGCTGGTTGAAAGGGATCTCTGAGGCTTGTGTATGCTGTGATCAACAGAGCGGCTCTGACTCTATCCATGGTCCTGAAAGCAACAGTCGAGGCAGAGTAAATCAAAGTGAGGCTGAATCATTAATGGCTTTCTCCGTATAGAGGCGACAATTGCTATGCAAATGATAATCGTGTCAAACGGGATTTTATTTATCAAGCTCTGTGTTGTGTCACAGATGCACATTTTTCACATTTACAGTGTGTCCACATGTAAATTCCTCTACTGTAAAATATGCCGGTATAGGATATAGATACAACCATAATATTATGTGTTTGGAGTTTTTAGAGATGTGAATTATATATAGGAGGCTACAGTATTGGAAAACCTTAGAAAGCAATTAATTGAAGGAGTGATAATATGTTTCCCCTGCATCCATTATACTTAGTACGCTGGTGCAGCAGGTTTTTATTTTGTTTACCAGACAGCATATTGGCTCAGACAGTACTGCAAATGTGGTTCACAAATGATCATGCTTCTCTTGTCTCTTGTGAACTCACATTTCCTCTTTGTCTGTTTCTCATGCATTTAGGAAGTCTGATGTAGATGATGAGCCAGAGGAGAGCCCAGGGAGCAGCAGCAGCAGCAGCATTGGCAGCAGCAGCGGGGCTGTAGATGCCCTCTCCACAGTTCCAGAGCCAGCCCCCCCTAAGGCCTCTGCGGGAGAGCCAGGACAGAGAGGCGACAGCTCCTGTTCGGACTCCGACAGTCCTGTAGACTCAAGTTCCTGTGAGGAGGACGAGGAGGAGGAGGACCCGGCTATGTTCTCCTCCAAATTCCTTAGTGGGGCCAACCCCCTCAATGCTGTGTCCTCTGCTGTGAATAAGTTTGGTTTATTTGGAAATGATGGGGAGGGGGATAAGAATAAGAAAGGACCTTCCCAGCAGGGAGTGAAGCCACCTGGAGAAAAGCAGCCAGGAGCAGGCCCTGGCAAAGGCCCTCAACAGCAGCATGGACCCCAAAAATCAGGCCAGGGCCCTCCTATGCAAACGGGCCAGCCTCTCCCTAAACAAGGCTCACCACAGTTGCATGGGAATGGACAGACTGCACCTCAAAACAAGCCTGGGGGGCAAAAAGTTACTCAAAAGGCAGGAACACAGCCTGAAGGTCATCTAAAAGGGCAGTCACAAAAAGATCTTCCAAAGGGGCCACCACAGCAAGATTCAGCTAAGCCTGGAGGTCAACCGCAGATTGTGAATAAGAGTGGAGTTCAACCAGGATCTCCAAAGGCATCTTCACAACAGCAGGTTCCACCTAAAACAGGGATGCAAAAACAAGAGCCCTCTAAGACAGGTGCACAGCAACAACAGCCAGCAAAGACTGGGTTGCAAGAGTCCACAAAGGCTGGGTCACAGCAAGGGTCACCTAAAGTAGGACAGCAACCACAGGGGTCACCAAGAATTGGACAACAACAACAACAACAACAACAACAACAACAACAACAACATGGCTCACCAAAACTCCCACAGCAACAACAGGGCTCACCTAAGGTGGGACAACAGCAGCAAAGTTTCAGGACTACACCCCAGCAGTCCTCAAATAAGCCGGGGTCTCAGCCACAAGGCCCTAAGGGACCTGGCCTGTCCCAAGTAGGGTCTTCATCACCGGGACCAACCAAAGCTGGATCGCAGTCAAAGGCAGTAGCTAATACCCTTTGCCCAGTGTGTAAGACAACAGAACTTAACATGCACACCAAGGAACCACCCAACCATAAAACATGTACACAGTGTAAAACTGAAGTGTGCAGCTTCTGCGGCTTCAGCCCTCCTGACTCAGATGTAAGTATTGGCTCAGAAGTAAGAAGTGAATCAGTTTTTTTGTAATTTCTTATCCGTCTTTTTATGCTTTTTTCAAACTAAATGCGCATATATTGCGCTTATTGTAAAGTAAACCGTATGTTTATACTATGTTACAGTTAACATGTTTGCTATTAATAATGTTTTTTTTTATTGACAATTGAAAATGACTCTGCTATGCACTGCAGTTGCTGTTGTGTCAATTCACTGATATCAAACACAATAAGTGTGGATGTAGTGCAATCTTATTTGCTAAAAGTTTCACTACAATTAAACACTGCACCATATCTTTACCATTGCACTTATTGTTAAAAAAAAACATCAGCTTTCTGATTTGTTTTCAAATAGAATAAGATTTAAACATGTTAAAATGTTTATTGTTATGTTATCTAATGTTTCAAGTTATGACATATACTGTATGTGTGATCCCACTTAAATATTAGTTTGAGCTGTGCATTTTAATCTTGTACTTTGTGTGCATTAATAGGTAATTGTTGTAACAATGTATCTATCTTCTTCTTCTTTTTTTGTGTATAGGGGCGTGAGTGGCTTTGTCTAACCTGCCAGGTAAAGAGAGCCCAAGGATTTTCTGAACCACCGGGACCTTCCATGAAAAAGCCCATTCCCAACAAAGTGTCTGCTGCTCAAAACCAGACACCATCGCCTGCTGCACCTGTCAAAAAAGAGATGTCAGGAGCTGGTTCACCTCAGAAAATGCAGTCTACTTCGGCAAAAGTGCAAGCCAAGGGTGAAGCTGCTAAAGGATCAGACATTCAAAAGCAGGCCAGTCCTGCTTCTGTTCACAAAATGACACCTGAGACCCAGAGAACATCAGGGCCTCAACAACCAGACCAGATAAGTCAAACTGGGCGCAAGCAAAGCAGTGCCAAGCAGGAGTCAGGAGGTTTATTTGGCTTTGGTGGTTCTAAAACTGAAGCTGCAAAGCCAGAGGAGTCAGTGAGTGGGAAGATGTTTGGTTTTGGTTCCTCCATTTTTAGTTCTGCATCTACTTTGATAGTCTCAGCTGTACAGGATGAGTCAAAAACTACACCACCAGTTTCGCCCAAAATGCAGTCTACAAAGGAGACCAAACCTGCAGCTGTCCAAAAGTCAGTGCAAGACAATAAACAAGAGCAACCCCTGCAAGCCAAAGCCAGTCCAGCAGGACAGGTCAAAGTGGAAAATGCTCAATCAGAGACTCCAAAGGCAACAGCAGCTTCCCACAATGCTCCTAAAGGAGGTCAATGCACTTGTCCAATCTGTAAGGTGATGCTCAATATGGGCTCGAAGGATCCTCCCAACTATAATACCTGCACTGATTGCAAAAGCACCGTCTGCAACCAATGTGGATTTAACCCCTTGCCAAATGTCAATGAGGTAAGATACTGTATGTGTGATATTTATTCAATTCATTACCGAATTAACTAATGACTTACAAACAAATACATATTTTCAAAGTTAATCTAAAAAATGCTACATACGTCACTATGTCATCCTAATAGTTGTTGAGGCAATTTGTTGTTGTTGTTATCTGAGCGATCAGATTGGTCTTACAGAACTGTTAAGCTGATTCAGTTACACACAAACCCAAGTAGACACACACACACACGCACACGCACACGCACACACACACACACACACACACACACACACACACACACACACACACACACACACACACACACACACACACAATGTCCAAGGTAATTAGACATTGCATATTAAAGCACAAAGGACATGACGCTTGACTCTGTAATACAATGCACAGTTAGTAGGCTACTTTCCCAAGGACAGTCCAAGGCTACTTGATTATTTAATACTGCTCCAACCAATGACTTCAACAGTGATGAACCAAGATCAGGGAGGAGAGATCCTTATGTGGATTTTGCAAGCCTGCTTTGAAGTGGATGTTTTAACATGTATAGTCTACACCACTGAAACTTTGCGATTACTGTCACCTGGCTTACTTTTTTAAAAGCTTACATTTGCACTTTTGTGGTGATATAATTAGTTTACTTCATCAAACACACACTAAATTAAATACAAACATGAAATACTCACTTTTCTGAAATGCTGCAACAAATAGTGGATGTTACCAAAAGCACAACAAAGGAATGAGCTTTGTTGGGTGATTCTTACATCATACAGTAAATCAAGATGTTGATCTTAATTACCGTAGCCATCCACAGAGTTTGCTCACTGTATACCATGAATAATTCCGTGTGTGTGTGTGTAATTTCCTGTTAAGAATAGGATAATTCAACCAGCCTCTGCACTTCTATTTTTAATTTACAGCTTTGGTTTGTTATCATTAAAACATGCATGTGTATATGTTATTAATGTGTGTTTGTTTTTGTTTGTTTTTGAAGGGAAAGGAGTGGCTTTGTCTAAACTGCCAGGTGAAACGAGCCCAGGAAGGCCCAGGGCAACCTTCACTACAAAAGACTGCTGCACCAGACAAGACTGAAGCTGCTAAAAGACCAGCCAGCACAGCTCCTGGTCAGAAAACCCCTCAAGACAGCCGAAAGGCAGGTCCTCAGAAACAACCAGACCAGACAAGCCAAATGTCACAAAAGAAGGGAAATGCCACTGCATCTACACAACAAGAGTCAGGAGGCTTTTTCGGATTCGGTGGTCCTAAAAGTCAGCCTGATGCTGCAAAACCTGCAGTGACTGGGAAGATGATGGGTTTTGGCTCCTCCATTTTCAATTCTGCATCCACATTGATAACCTCAGCTGTTCAAGATGATCCAAAAACGACACCCCCACTTTCTCCCAAATTGCCTACCACAAAGGATTCCAAATCACCCATTGCGACGAAAACAGGACAGGAGACAAAACCAGGACAACCCCAGCTGACCAAGGCTTCGCAATCAGTGCAGACGAAAGCGGACAAACTTCCATCAGCTACCCCAGTTGTTTCTAAAGCAGGACACTCTACCTGTCCTCTCTGTAAACTGGAACTAAATGTGGGCTCACAAGATCCTCCCAACTACAACACCTGTACAGATTGCAAAAATACTGTCTGTAACCAATGTGGATTTAATCCAATGCCAAATGTTAAAGAGGTAAGACAAGTTTACTGTTGATTACAGAATAAGCAATTGAACAATGATTGTTGCATTTTTATTTAATAATGGTATTCTCGTTTGTAATTATTATTGGTAAACTCCTTCCTATTGTACAACAACAGGATTTTAATTGTACCCATTTACTGTTTGCTCTACTAGGTGCAGGAGTGGTTATGTCTCAACTGCCAGATGCAGAGAGCACTAGGAGCAGCTGAGCCACCAGGAACTCCCATGATGAAACTACAGGCTTCACCAAATAAAGTCCCTGCATCAGCCATAAATAAGGCAACTCCCCAACTGGTTAAACCTCAAAAGATAGACACTCAAACACTCACTGAATCCAAAATAAAGAACACCTCAGCACCAGGCTCCCCTCAGAGGAAACCACCAATACTAGCTGAGCAGCCAGCAACGGCTAAAGACGTGAAACTTCCAGAAAGTCCGAAACAGGTCAGCCCATCTCCTGGTCAGAAAACTACTACTACAACTTCACAAGAGGAATCTGGAAAGTTATTTGGATTTGGCAGTCCTAAAGCTCAACCTGATAGTGCAAAGCCTGCTGAGTCCCTTGGTGGAAAAATGTTTGGATTTGGTACGTCCAGCTTTAGTTCTGCATCTGATTCTAAAACAACACCTCTAGTTTCTCCTAAAATGCCTCGCGCAGAAGCACCAAAATCACCTCTTGCTCACAAACAAGGGCAAGAGGTAAAGAAAATGCAGCCCGGAACTTCTCCATCACCCCAAGCCAAAGTAGGAAAAGTTCCATCAGAGGTTCCAAAAGATGCAGCAGCTCACAAGGCAGGCCAATCTACCTGCCCACTCTGTAAGGTGGAACTCAACTTTGGCTCCAAGGAACCTCCAAACTACAACAACTGCACCGAATGCAAGAATACTGTCTGCAACCAATGTGGATTTAATCCAGTGCCAAATAATTCAGAGGTAATACAACACATTTTCCCAATTAACTTTAAAACTAAAGAAAAAAGCAAAATAATGAAATAATGTTGACTTATGGTAGACCATAGTTGATCACCATAAAACATATAAGGTACATCTGTTTGACATTGTAAAGTGATTGCATGAAGGTTTAGTAAATGTTTCATATTGATTTTTCTGTTTGCAGGTAAAACATTGGTTATGCCTGAACTGTCAGATGCAGAGGGCTCTTAGTGCATCCGAACGCACGGGACCTCCAATGAAATCAGCTGACAGCATTTCTCCATCTGCTGGACATCAGAAGATAAAAGCTTCTAATCAAGTGGAAACTCGAAATAAATCTGATGCACCTTCAAAGCTCCAGAATCAGGGGCTCGATACACTTCAAGAGAAAGGGAGTCCCAAACCAGGTTCTCTGCTGAAGGCACAGGCTGCAGCAGTAACAAAGGAAACTAAGGCTGCAAAAGGACCAGACCGTGACCCAAAGGCTAGCCCAACTCCTGTTCAGAAAGCTCCTCTCGGTATCACAGGGGATTCTCAGAAACCAACTGACAAGATAAGTGAACCTGAACTTAACCCGAGTAAGATCACCCCAGATACAAAGGGGGAGTTAGGAAACCCAATTGGCTTGAGTGGTCCTAAAACAGGGCCTGAGGTTTCAAAAACAACAGAGTCTGTGACTGGGAAAATGTTTGGATTTGGTTCCTCCATTTTCAGCTCAGCATCCACTTTGGTATCATCTGCTGTTCAGGAAGTATCAAGTACTACACCTCCAGGTTCTCGTAAGATGTCTGCTGGTCCCAAGATTTCTCCAAGAAGTACACCTACAGCTTCCCCCAAAATGTCACCAGCAAGAGATCCCAAAACTCTTAGTCAGAAACCAGAGCAGGGGAGGAAACCAGAAGAATCCCACCAGAGCAAAGAGGACAAAGCTCCATTACACCAACCAAGGGCATCAGCAATCTCCCAAACATCTTCTAAAGGAAGTAAAGCCACCTGTCCACTATGTAAGGTTGAGCTTAACATGAGTTCCAAGGACCCTCCAAACTACAACACCTGCACTGAGTGCAAAACTACTGTCTGTAGCCAATGTGGATTCAACCCAATACCTATAGGAAAGGTACGTAATGGAATACAATAGCAGAACATTTATTTCCAAATGTACTATATGCGTGTATGCATGATTGTGTATTAATCTGTGAATGTGTTCAAATGACCTGTATTGCAGTTTTTAGGAGTATGTTTTCCTAAGTACTTACATTTTTGTGAATTATTGCAATTTCCAATTCCAAACCAACAAATAACTGTTATCTCTTGTATTTTAGGAAAACGAGTGGCTATGTCTTAACTGTCAGATGAAAAGAGCAGTTGAAGCATCTGAGCCCCCTCCAGCAATGAAGTCCCAAGCAGTTCCTAAAGTTCCTTCACCTGCTGCAGTCTCACCACAGAGAAAAGAGTCTACTCCATCAGTTAAGCCAGGCAAACCTGAAGCTGGTACTACTCCATTGAAACAGGCGAGCCAAGAACCTGATCATAAAACACCAGAGGAAATACAAAAGACAAGACCAAACAAGCCACCAGATCAGGCAAGCCAACCTGGTGATAAACAACTTGATGCTGCAAAGCCTGGGATAAATAATCAAACCGAACGTAAACAAAGTAATGCTGCAGCAGCAACACAGCAAGAGTCAGGAGGCTTCTTTGGTTTTGGTGGTGGTAAAGCTCAACCAGATGCTGCAAAGCCAGCAGAGTCAGGCACTGGGAAAATGTTTGGCTTTGGTTCTTCCATCTTCAGTTCTGCATCTACTTTGATTACCTCAGCTGTTCAGGACCAGCCCAAGACTACTCCACCAGTTTCTCCCAAGATGTCAGCAGCAAAAGAGATCAGATCCCCTGCAGCTCAGAAGAGAGAACAACAAACAAAACCAGAACAACCCCAAGAGACCAAGACACCTCCATCAGTGCAGGCCAAAGTGGACAAAGCTCCATCAGAGCCTCCAAAGGCTGCAGCAGCTTCGCAAGTAGCTGTCAAACTAGGCCAGTCTACCTGTCCACTCTGTAAGGTCCAACTCAACGTGGGGTCCAAGGATCCACCTAACTACAACACCTGCACTGAATGCAAGAACACTGTCTGTAACCAGTGTGGATTTAAACCTATGCCAAATGTGTCAGAAGTAAGTAATATGTTCTCAAGATGTGTGTATTAATGATTTGTAATAATAATAATAATAATATTAGTAATTATAATAATTGTAATAATATCTACACGTCTGATTTTACATTTAAAATATATGATTGAACTCTCAACTAAAAAAGATTACAGACACACTTACTCAAAAATATGTTTTTCCTTTTAGATTGAGTGGTTGTGTCTGACTTGTCAGATGCAAAGAGCCATTACAGCAGCTGAGTCAGTCGACCCTCCACTGATGAAACCCCAGGCATCACCCAACAAAGCTCCCTCACCTGTTGCTGACCAAAAAGACGTCACTGCCAATACACAGAAAGACACTATCTCCAGTGTAAAAGCAGAAGTGCAAGATCAAAATAAGGCTGACAGCCCAACACCAGGTTTACCACAAAAGGAAGAAGAAACTAAAGCTTCATTTCAAACGGTCATTACAGAAACAACAACCACTGCTGCACCACCTGCAAAAGAAATCACACATACAGTTACAGCCCCAAGAAAAGATGAGAAACCTGCTTCGCCATCTACCAAGGAGATTTCAATCTCTACTGCCCCTCCCATCATTGAGACTGCAGATGTCAAACCACAGCCTGTTGAAGCTCATCCTGTCAACACAAATATTGAAACGTCTGTCCAGAGGTCAGAGTATATAACTCCACAAAGTTCTCTTTTACCTAAAGAAGTTTTAGAAAAGAAAGAGGGGACAGCTGAAATAGTTCAGAAACCAGCTGATCAACCAATCTTCTCTGATGAAGCACAGCCCCTGAAAGCCCTCAACGAAGAGTCTGCTCCTCCAGTAGCACAGTCAACAAATCCAGACCTACCACTAGAACAACAGCAGGACAAGGCTCCTCCATCTGAAAAGGCCACCGTAGAGAAAGGTCCTCCAGTCCCTGCAAAACCAGAAGCCTCCCAGGCTGTTCTCAAAATGGTCCAACGTACCTGTCCGCTTTGTAAGATTGGACTTAATATCGGCTCCAAAGATCTTCCCAACTACAACACTTGTTCTGAATGCAAAACCCCTGTCTGTAACAAATGTGGATTTAGTCCTACGCCAAATTCAACAGAGGTAATTAAATGACTAAATACTTAACTTAATGTATAATAATAAGTCCGTAATTTACCATTTTTGGTCAGGGGAAAGTTTGTTGAATTGTTAGACATTGTCTACTGATTTACTGGACACACGTTTTAGTTGGAATTTAGCGAGAAAAACACAGTTCAATTTGCCTTAATTCTTCTCAATGTGTCAGTTTGACTTTCCTTGTTATTTTAATTTCATGTTATGGACATTGAAATCTGTTTTTCTTTTTCAATCTATGTTGTGACTTTCAGCTAAAGTATATATTTGGACTAGATTAACAAAGTGCTATTTTGAGAGTTGTTTTTTCACACATGCAAAGGTTGTACTCATGGTCTTTGTTTGTTTTTTCAGGAAAAGGAATGGCTTTGTCTGAACTGCCAGATGCAGAGAGCACTCGGAGCTTCTGAACCTCCAGGCCTTCCCATGATCAAACCTAAACCTTCACCAAGTAAAGAGGTCCCTGTCACCACACAGAAGAAAGCAACCCCTATGTCAACTTCTGAGGAGGACATGCATAAACGAGCTGCACCTACAGATGAGCTAGTTGATGTTTCCACAACCAAAGACACAGAAGCCCCAGACCTTGGTGTTGTAACAAAGAAAGTTTCACCTGCAGCTGCTTCATTGCCTGACAAAACGTCTCTGTCCTCTACCACAACAACTGATGTTTCACCCGGTTTACAAAAGCCTTCAGAAGAGACATCCAAAGGACATCCCAGTACACCCCAGCAACAGCCTCCAAAATCTGATACTCCTACTTCTATATCTACACCACCTTTAACAGTACCAGGTGAAGGAAAGCTACCTCCACAACAGACTGCAGTGGTGACTTCTACTGCTATATCCACTACTCCACCACCCATCTTAGAGGCAGTAAAGCCATCCCCGCAGCAGCTTCCACAAACGGTGACTTCTTCTGCTAAGTCTGCTCCTCCACCAGATCAAGTGGCAAGCAAGCCCCCCCAACAACATCCTCCAAAAGCTGGTACCTCTCCAGGCAAATCTGTACCACCACCGGTTGAGCCTGCCAACCAGGCATCAGGAGGCTTCTTTGGTTTTGGTGGTCCTAAAACACAAACAACAGCAACAAAGTCTGCTGAGTCCGTTTCTGGGAAGATGTTTGGCTTTGGTTCATCTTTCTTGAACTCGGCATCAACTTTGATAACCTCAGCTGTCCAGGATGAACCCAAAATGACACCACCGACTCCACGTAAGATGTCCACTACAGCCCATGTCTCTCCTAGAACAACACCACCAGCCTCTCCTAAAACGTTACCTGCAAAGAATACTGAGGCTCTCCCGCCAACTCTTGAAAAGAAAGCAGAGAAACAACAGCTGAAAAAGGATCCTTCAACCGTCCAAACCAACGCAGACAAAGATGCATCGGAGCCTCCCAAGGCACCAACCGACATCCAAGGTGCCCCAAAAGCTGATTCATCAGGCTGTCCACTCTGTAAGGCCAACCTTAACATTGGCTCAAACAATCCTCCCAACTACAATACTTGCACAGAATGCAAGACCATCGCCTGCAACCAATGTGGATTTAATACAATTTCCACTGTGACAGAGGTAAATCACAAGTCACATGCTTTAATCTGACTCAGTTGTATTCATTTACTTAAAATAGTATTTCTTAAATGTGTTCAACATTGTTTAAGGGCCGGGTAGGGTCAAAGTGATACGATTTAAAAAGTGAACTTACATGTTTGAATGGTTGATCTTTTTATGTGAATATCTACTGCAACAGGAGTTTTAAATTGATACCACTCAGGCCTTCACCATGAAAAATAACTTAATGAAATACATTGGTTTGCTAACTTCAGGTTAATTAATCAATCATATCAGTAATGTAAAAAAGCCATACCAAAAATACTTATAAATCAAAAAAGACGTTATCTTTTAAAATAGGCATGATTATAATTGATCTGTAAATAAATACATTTGACATGAAGAGGCTTGAAGTGGTTAAAAGTCCTCTGAACATTTTTGTCAAGTGATGAATTGTATTTAAATGTGTCCCTTAAAATACTTATTTTGTCAAAACTGTTGATGTTGCTTGTTTCTCAACATTAATTTATACATGTATTGCACTTCTTTCAGGTAAAAGAATGGCTTTGTCTGAACTGTCAGATGCAGAGAGCACTAGGAGCATCTGAGCCCACTGGACGTCCTGTTCTGAAACCTCAGCCCTCCCCAACCAAGGTTTCTATACCTCCTGGCTCTGAACTGAAGGACATACCGACATTAGTGCAAAGGGAGAAGTCAGCAGCATCTGCAGTAGTAAAAGAAGAGGTCATTCAAGCAGTTCCAAAAAGAGAAGTTATGTCAACAATTGAGGCTCCAGTGCCAATTGAGACACCACGACGAGATTCTGTGCAGAAGACACAGGTGCTTTCAGGTACTGAAAAAGGACAAAGACAGGAGGTGGCTGGCCAACAGCCGCCTGTTGGCAAACCCCCCCCTGTACAGCTTTCTAAAACTGCAAAGCAAGAGGTCAAGGCAGATCTTTTAAAACAAGAAGTTGGAAAACCACCACAACAGCCCTTAAAATCTGTGACCCCCCCTGCAAAAGCCACACCACCACCAGCTCAGCCTGCAAAACAGGAGTCAGGAGGCTTCTTTGGCTTTGGTGGTCCTAAAACACAACCTGCTGCTGCAAAGCCTGCTGAATCAGTGACTGGGAAGATGTTTGGTTTTGGTTCGTCTATCTTCAGCTCTGCATCTACACTGATAACCACACCACCTTCTCCACGTAGGATGTCCACTACAGTCTCTCCTAAAATAACACCTCCAGTTTCTCCGAAGATGCCCCCTGCAAAGGACACAAAACCACCTGCTGCAGAGAAATCAGAGCCACCTCAACAGACCAAGCCTGCTCCATCAGCAGAGGCCAAAGTAGAGAAGGCTCCAACAGTGCCTCCTAAATCAACAGAGGTGACCAAAGTTGCCTCTAAAGCAGCTCTGTCCACCTGTCCACTCTGTAAGGTCGAACTCAACACAAGCTCCAAGGATCCTCCTAATTATAATACCTGTACGGAATGCAAGACCACTGTCTGCAACCTTTGTGGATTTAACCCCATGCCTCAAACAGGAGCGGTGAGTGCAATGGATCATTTATTTTCACATTTTCATTTTATTTCACTCATCATAAACTTTTTTGAATGTTTGAGGTTTGGCCTTTAAACATTTTGTTTTAGGATTTCCAAAATTAACCATTCTATTTGACCAATTTAGTTGCTTTATGTTTAAAGGGCAGGAGTGAATAGTATGCATTGCTGGAAATATTTTTTTGTTTAACTGGACGAATTACATCTAAGTAGACACTGTAGGCAAATAGACACTGGTGGTTATTGTAATATCATGAAGCGAATGATGAAGCCAAACCCAGGCTATGTTTTGATGACTTGTGGTCAAAGTTGGAAATGAAATGACAACTGACAACAGAAGAGAGGAAAAGTGATTTTAGGTTTAACAGCAGCACTATGATTTGTTTAGGAGGTGGTGGCAAAATGTAGTTGGTAACCTAAAAGAGTGGACGCCCATAACCAGCTGGTTAGAAGCAGGTGGATGGGTGAAAGAGAGAATTAAGAATAAGTGAAGCCTAGTATCCCTGATTGAACTTACGCTGAACTCCATTTGTTTAGCCCTCCCCTTGGAGTAATTCGAACATGCTCAGCTTCAGTAAATCACAACATTGTCGTTGAAACATGGTTTGCACTCATCTCAAGAGCAGACCACAGCAAATGCATATTATAAATAGCTGCATTATGTTCATTGATACTTAACATCAGTGGTAGACAGTAACTGAGTAGATCTACTGAAGTACTGTTAAGATCAATTTTGAGGTACTTTACTTGAATACTTTCATTTCCTGCTACTTCATACTTTGTCTACAATTCAGAGGCAAATATTTTACTTTTCTACTCAACTACATTTATTTGGTTTACTTAGATAATGATACTTTAGTTAATAAGTAAAGAATGCAAAACAGTGTATCCATTACTGTGTAATAACTACTTTTACTTCACTAAAAGATCTGAGTTCTTCACCTATGTTACATACATGAAAAAGTGTTTGAGTGTTCAAGCAGTACCGTTAATATTACTTTTTTGTCTTTCCTTTCTGGAATATTCTTTTGAAGTTTAAAGGATGATAAAATGTTCAATTTATTTCTACTGACATTGTAGTACACAATAGGCTGCATTTACTCCATTACAAACATGTGTTGTGAAATAAACTATGAAGGTGCCACAGCAGAGGGTTTTCAGAAAATGACTCCTAACAGCTTTGGTTTGCAGTTCATTATTGTAATCTATTTGAATTATTGACCTACTTTGCGAATTCTCAAAGTAAATTAAAAACAAACTAATAAAAAGGCTATGTGTATTTGTCAACTAGAGTGACCCAAGTTATTACATAATGGCTCATGAGAAGACAGCTTCAGCAGACCGGCAGCACTGAAAATGTATTAAAGTGATTGAGGGTTATGCAACAGCGTTAGTAAGATGGGATCTGTTGCCACAGCAGACCAGGGAGCAGGGAATCTCCAGTCCCAGGGAGAGATCTGAGATGGCAAAGCCCTGTAATATGCCAATAAGCAGAGGTGAAACGGATTAATTCCAACACAACATGGAGCAATATATTAGAGCAGCAGACATTTCCTTTGAGTCCATTTCCTCTCTCACATATCTGTGGCTCCATAGTATTTATTGTCTTGTGTTGGGCAGTGACACATGTCTACCCACACATGCATGTCATTGATAAATACTTGGCTTTGTGACCTGTGTAGCCTTATAATATCATACGTTAGGTACAGTAATCATTTCCTCTTTTTTCTTTAAAGCTTCTTTAAATTCCTCTGTCAAGTTGATTTGTTTTTCCTTTAAACAGTATTAGCAGTTAATACCTTAAACAATTAGTTTAACATGGGATTTGGTAGACCCATGTAGATTCAGTAAAAGGTTTTTTTCTTGACTTAGTCATTTTAAAGGAGATCGTATGATCCATACTGCACCGCATGTGTTTATGATTTGACATAATGCAATAATATGTCTGGTCAATCACTGTATTCATTTGAATGGAGATTTTGAATAAGGTCATCTGTAATGCCAGTATTTCCACAATGTGACAACGTTGGTTACATTTTAAGCCATATAATATGTCTAATTTCTATAAAAGACAACATATTTTGCCCGTATACCACACGCTCTGCCCGCATGGCACGTTATTGTGGAGAAAAAGTGAACAAATAGAAACAGAATAGCTGTGCCTCTTATGTAATTGACACTTCTCACGTTATTATACACCCGAGAGGGGAAAGAGCCTTCTGGGTATTGGTTGGATGGGGGAAGGGACAAGCGTGGATATGCTGTTTGTACAACATAGATGCATTCCTCTTAATAGCTATGGAAAACAGAAATAGCTTGGCCTTAACACCACTGAACAGGATGAACCACCATTATAGCTATCCAAAGGGGCTGTGCCTGCCCCTTCCCCATCATCCATCTCTGTGGGTTTTTTAGTAGAAGGGCAGAAATGCCTCCTTTTTAAATATTAAAAGGGCTTGTAAGGTTAGAAAGATGAGGAGGCCACTTAAGGCAAACTGAATGCTGGAAGCAAGTCTATGCATTTTTTCTTTTGCCTTTTCTGCTTCAGCTGATGCCATCAAAAGCCTGGGAGTGACTGTTGTCTGATAAGTAGGACACACGTGTGTCACGCTTTGCCAGCTAAAGCTTTGTGTATAACAGATGAGACAGCATGAAAGATAGTTCCCTTGTTTTTACTAACATTTTACCACGTGGCCATATATTTAGCTTGAAATGAAAGAAAATGTTTCCTCAGTGGAAAGCGGTCGCTACATTGTATTTTGCCTTAACATATTTTTTTATTAATAGATATTTTAGGAACCTGTGCATATTCCTCAAAGCTTCCACGGAAGACCGATTCATCTTTCTATGTATGCCCTCTCCCTCCCTTTTCTACAAAACATCTTCACCCTACTGCATCTTGACATCAAAAAAAGTTAGCTTAAAAGCCATTTGTGAGATTGTATACAAAAGCAAGGGGTGTATTCCTTGTCTTTGGAATGAAGCACTCTGCTTATTACAGATTAGTAGGTCAATGTTCTCTACCATCAGAAAGCTTGATTTATGAAGCGCTCTGCTCTGTGGGGGCCGCTGAAAGCCAAGTATATTAGCCAGCTACAGCCTGGGCCAAATGCATCTGCCAGAAAATCAATAAGAGACTTACCACCATCAGGAAAACACTGAAGAGAGGCTGAGAAATAGTGGTGAAGAAACAGCCCAAAGGCCGCCTCTCCAGTCCAGCCGTTATAAAATGTAAATGTCAGGACCCGTTTAATATCCAGCGACTGCTGTGTCATGAGATGGTTCTGGTTTATGTAAATACAAATTACAGATTTAATTAATAAGTGGAGTTAAGGTTGACAGGCATTCCCATTAAGAGCAGTTTGATAGATGTTTGGGCATTCTAATTGTACGCTAGATGTGTACGTCTTTGTTAAACAAAACAACACTTATCATTACCAATGCTGATACTGAATAAGATGCTTTCCCGTCGTCAGTTATCCATAATGCATGGGGAAATGGGCCGAATGTGTATCTTGGTATTGAAATGTAAAATATGTGGGTATCTTAAAAGAAGTAAAGGTTTGAAGGTAATCTTTGCTCATTGTGAATAGGCTGTTTTCCATACATTTAGAATGCTGCTTGCTTTGCATTAAGTGAAGTGGTCGTTGTAAAGCTCAGATCCGGCCCAATGCAGCATGCCAGTGTGTGAAGAACTGCATTTCCTGACTGCTGACATTGGGAAGGTCTGGTAATCCAGCTCACAAACTAATCGTGGGGAGCAGCTTCTCCCACGGCTCTCTGCTTGGGGCTCCAACTCTTTACTCATAAAACAGATTTAATTAGACAAAAGGATGATGGTGACGCTCCAAGCCCTGTGGCTCTGACGCATGGTTTTCAGACTGTGTGGCTGTGAGGAAGTGACTGGATGAAGTCTTTCTGTTTACTAAGATGTTTTACTATTTGTGTTGCAGTTTGATTTAGATTGAGGTAAATACATTATCAGACGCAAGTAAGGTGATGTGGGGTTTGTATATGTTCTGATTAGTTTGATATTCATTTGTTAAATTTTATACTTTGTTCAATAGGATTTCGCTTTTTTATGTTCCAATAAAACATACACAACTAAAGCTGTCCAAATGTAAACATCTTTGAGGCTGAGATTTCGTAAGATCACATGTAATTGAGGTTTAAATTATTCATTGATTTGCACCACTATGAACATAATGCACTATTCTAATGAGGCTTTGTTTGGTACTGTTGTGGGCAAATATGATTATCATATCCCTGAATGAACCACAACTGACTGAACAAATGCATATCAGTATCAATCAAAGCGGCTCCATCAGTATCAGGTTTCTCAAAAGTCAAGCATGTTATGCATTAATAATGTATGAATTTAATTATCAAAGACTGTATACATGATGTATTAGTTGTATTTGTGTTTGCCTGTTTTTTGAACAGTGAAAGCATTTTACAGGAATGCAGTTTACCATCAGTTTTCTTGCTGCTCGGGGTGGATTGTATCATCTTCTATAGTTTAAGCCAAGCACTATTTGCATTAGCTGTTGGAAGTTTTGCTATAACCTTAGTATATAAGGAATACAAATGACTTCCTTGCCAGTTTTAACCAATTATTTTGATATTTTTACTTTATCGTAGTCCTTTTTATAAGGAGTTAATCACAAAAGTTCTTAGTATGGAGATATTTTGAGCTCGTTTATGGGAACAAAGAAAGTGTCCAGCACAGCTGGATTGTAAAATCAGGCCTGAGCCAGGTTATGACAGAGGGTAGGTTACATCACTACTAAACTCATTGGGCATGGGCCTGTGAACTATGTTATTAATTGACGTCATTGTATCCTGAACCAATGCTAATCTGTTTATAAAATGCATGAACATTACTGTGCACATGTGACAGTTGTGGTTCCATTATTAATATCTTAAATAAGTGTATAAGTTCTAATACTTTATTTCATGGTTAGATCATGGTGTTTCACAAAGAGGATTTGTGTGCGATGTAATCTCTGTTGTGTATCAGAACTGCTCGCCCTGGCTCTGCAGAGGAAGGCACATTGCTGTGATTTGGCCTGCTAGGTTGCCTTATCTATTGAGAGTCTATGCTTTCCTCTCCTCCTTAACTGTCAATTAACAAAGCTTACATCTGATAAAAATCGTGTTTTCAGAGAATTAAACTGACAAAGTAATATTACAAATGTGATTGGCTCTTTTGCAAGGTAAGCATTTTTATTGCTGTCTTCCAAGTGTCACAAATTCCAGTCTAAAAGTGGCACCGGCGATTATGTTGTAATTAAAGACAACAAGCTTATATTTTTTGATTTATGTGTTGGACGTTTTAATTTTTCGAGCAACGAATACTAAACAAAGATTATATTTGCATTACTTGCAAAAAGACTGTTAATCATGTCTTAATCATTATTGTTCACATTGACACGCAGTAGTTCAGGTGTAAAGTGACACCTAATGTAACACCTAATGTGCGTCAACGTCTCTGCACAGCAAACACATAATTAATGGATTAAAGAAAATACATAGTGTTGGTTTTTTATGTCTTTTAAATAAACATTTGAAAACATGTTTCATACATGTTTACCATTGGGAAGATTTCACTCCTGTTTACTAATAGCATACATTTTTGGTTTTGTAAGTTTTTTGAAAAATGCTTTTTCTGTCAGAGCTTCAAGGATGTTATCATTTATATGGCAAAGTCATTTGACTGTTGGATTTGGCAGAAATTGCTCTTGCTTTGCAGGGATTTCGTAGATAAGCATCACAAATCCAACACATAACATAACACTCTGCAGAATTCAGTTTTAATGTCAACTAAATATGTTGAACCTTTTTCTATTGTAAAGGTGATATATTACACTGGTTAAAAGCGAAGTGGTTGAACCTGTACAGTGTGTTTTAATGTTAATCTGGCTATACTATGTTTCCTAATCATAAGGTGCCTTTGCTTCTTTGATCGCAGAAGGAATGGCTGTGTCTGAATTGCCAGACTAAAAGGGCCTTGTCTGGACAGCTGGGAGACTCAGGAAAAAGGCCCCAGCTTTCACCAGTACCTGCCACAAAACCAGAGCCCACCCCGCCTCCCATCAAGGCAGTACCAATAGTTTCAACTAAAAAAGCACAGATGGAACCTACATCTGTCAAACTTGAAACCATGGCTAAAGCAGCTTCTGCAGAAATCAAGACAGAGATCGCACGCGTACCTACAATAGCAACGGTTTCACCTGTTATAGCAGACAAACAGCCTTTAGCAGCATCAACAGCGGAAGCCATTATACCTACTATGGCCAGTGTGCAAAAGACAACAGAAAAAGGAACGGTTGTAGTGCCAACCACAAATGTTCCAAAGACTGTAACAGTGGAAAATAAAGAGGAGACTGTGAAAGTGGAGTTCATTGAAACAAAAGATTCCAAAGCCAAAGATTCTAAACCGGACATTCCAAAAGCCAAAGCTGTAGCAGCTGAAGCTGAAGCTTCTTCTTTCCCAGTGATTGAAGCAACAGCTGTATCTACCTCCTCTATTTCTGCAGAGGTTGCCATGGCTGAAGTTGTCCCAGAAACCGAAAGAATTGCTGCATTGTCTGTTCATGGGACGATCATTGAGGAAGTACAGGCTGATGACCATATCGAACTGACAGACCTACCAACATCTTTACAGCAAGTTGAAGAGCAACCAAAGTCGCAAGAACGACAGCTGGTGTTGGAAGAACAACCAACTGACAGCAAGGAAATTGCTGATAAGTTGGTTGATAATATTATTGACATCACCTCAACTCCAGAAACACAACAAATGTCTACGGAGACCGTCGTCATAAAAGTAAGGATGGGTTCTCTGGATTTCAAATTATTATTGCATTGACAAATGACAAATGTGCATGTTCTGGCAGTTTCCTAGCATACCCCATATGAATGTATATGTACTTGAATTCCAATGTTTTCCTTTGTTTGTCTTTCCTAATTGTGGCTACAAAATGTACAGTGTTCAGCTTTCGTTATGTTTTCACTAACAGTAGGGTTACAGTGTAAGCTATGTAGCAATAATTATTTGAGTCATTACTATCATATTGCATTATTTTGCAGTAACTTCCATTATTTTCTCTGCTATAATTTGTAATAAACTTTGTTGTCCATCATCATCATGAAGTTATTGTGATTAGGGTGGTTAGTGGCTCTATTGTCATATAACTATGCATCATCCGCAAACACTTTTGGGTTTCAATTGGACTGATAAACTCAAAAGAGATCTATATTCTGTTTATCTTATTATTATTCTAATATACAGGACTGTCTCAGAAAATTAGAATATTGTGATAAAGTTCTTTATTTTCTGTAATGCAATTAAAAAAACAAAAATGTCATACATTCTGGATTCATTACAAATCAACTGAAATATTGCAAGCCTTTTATTATTTTAATATTGCTGATTATGGCATACAGCTTAAGAAANAGACATAGTGTTGGACCAAGAAAGTCTGTATATTTCACCAGGGAAATGTATTAACTGTGATTTTGTTTTTTTCACATTTTTAGGACCAAGATGGAATCAAAAAAGAGACCATAAAAGAAAGAAAGGTCTCCAAAGCAGAGGAGCATGATGAAGATCAACCCCATATTTTACCAATATCACAGGAATTTAAGGATAATCAGGTGGCTAGTGAAACAAGTACAAATTATATAAATACAGATACAGCTACTCCAGAAAAGGAGGAGGTAAAAGCTGAGAGAAGACGCCTAAGTGTTAAACCAATGGTTGAAAGCAGTGACAGTGAGCTCACACCCTCACCTAAAGTCCAGAGGAAAAAGTTGGCGGTCTCCAATTTGTCATCCAGCAGTGAGGACATTAAAACTGAAAGTGCTGACTATGACTCTATGGATGATGAAGAATTCATCCGCAGGCAGATATTGGGTATGGGTGATGAAGAACAAATGTTTCTTTCAGAAGATGAGAAAGAAAATCATTTGGCAGATGAGAAAGCTATCCTCGAGGTTGTGCTTGATGATGCTTCAGACACAGGACTATCACTGTATGGAAAATCGAGCACAGAGAATGAAGAAAGCTCAGCCGGGAAAAAAGCCCTCCAGAAAACTGACACCGCAACTACTCAATATTCTCCCGAAAAAATTCCAAGCTCTACTTTCAAGAAAGCTTTACCAGTCATGAAACAAAGACAAAGTCCTGATGAAGAAGTAGAGAGCATCACAGAATCCCTGTCAAAGGGATCATCTAGTGTCCAGGTATCTAGCTTTACACCAGGATCGTCACCCACCTCAGCATCGTCTCTAGAGGAGGACAGTGATAGCAGCCCTAGTCACAGGAAAGTCAGTGGGGACAAACATCATCGCAAGGGTAAGCACAGGCAGTCAACCCAGCCTCTCCCCACCATTGAAGACTCCTCTGAGGATGAGAAGATAAAAAGTGTGGGGAAGTCTAGGAAAAACAAAGATGAACTTAAAGCCCATGGCCCACTTCCATCTCCAACAGCTTCCTCTACAGAGAATCTGAGACAGGTCATTGTAACTGATGACACTAGTAGAACATCTGGGTCTGAGTACTCTGCCAGTTTAGAATCAGAATCAGAGGCTAAGCGAGCTGTACAGAGAGGACGTAAGCCTTCCATAACAGTGATACCATACACCCCATTTGATCCATCCATTGAAGATTATTATGTGACAAAATCCTTGAAAAGCGCAGAAGAAGCATATGAGGACATTTTTCAAGAGACAAAAGCTATTCCAGGCGAGAGTCCTCCTGGTATTGAACCACTTTATGGAGGAATGGCAATAGAAGACTATCTTTATGAATCTTTAGTTGAGGAACCTGAAAATAAGATGGGCGAATCTCAAGAGGAAGAAGTAAATCAGGAAACAAGCTCCGAATGTCTCCAAAAACTCAGATCTCCAGAGGAGGTTTATGAGGAGATGATGCAGAAAAAGAGAGAACTTATAATGATAGAAAAAGAGTTTCAACAGTCCCAGACTGCCATAGAATCTTCCTCATTAGGGGCTTCTGTCACCCGGCCTTCCTTGATTGCTGAGACCTGTGTGGTTACCATGCCAATGGAAGAAACATCCCTCACTCAAAAAAATGATATGCCTCTTATATTCACTGAATATTCTAGTGAACTGACATTAAAGAAAAAGAAAAGGCCAGCGCCACCACGGCCCTCTGAACAGCCTAAGCGCTCCGAGGTAACTGTTGTTACTATTACACCTAGTGGATCTATTGGTTTTGTTAGGCCTATGGTTCCTCAAGATCCTGCACTCAGAAAAGCATTGTTCCCCATACCAGATCTCAAGATCACCCAGTGTTCATCTGGGGAGGAAGACGATGACAGCCTTGCAGAAGAATATGGTGTTGGTATTTCCTCTGACATTACCACCAGCGATGACTCTGAGACTAAAGACGATGCATCCATAAGCCCACCTTTGTCAGAAACTGCTGATATGGAGCCTATCTGTGTGGTCTGTGAAATTCCAGAGGCAAAACCTATTCCAACTCCAATATCAGCCCCAGAACTTACATCTACACCCTCACCCACATCACCAATGTCAGTTCTAACTTCACCAGCTACTCCAGATTCCAGTTTGGCTTCTAATGCTACATCATCATCCTCATTCCAGGCTCAAACACCTCTTTCATCAGAATCAACTCCACTTTCTACACCAACACCTCCAACTTCATGTGTAACTCAATCGCCTCCAGATGACTCATCACCATCACCTGTCCCAATTGCAGAAAAACCGTCTAATGGGGACTCAGTCTCTCATCCAACTCCAAACACAGTTATAGTTACAATACCAGATGTGGTGTGGGATCCGTCCAAAGCTCAAACCACTGAAGCAATTCAAGTTAAAGCTTCTGCAGCTGGAGCCTCAACCCCAGCCCTAGTGGGGATGTCTACTCCTCTACCTGTTGTGGTTCAAATGCCAGACTTGGTTTCATCCCCTTCTCAGATGCCTGTCGAAGCTCCGGCTGTTATACAGGTCTCAGCTCAGAGTCCAGAACCTGTTGTTGTCTCAGCTCTACCTACAACACTAGTAACAGTTACACCTAAATCAGCCATAGTCCAGATGATGCCGGACTTGGTGTCAACTACATCTACAAACTCTGCACAAACCCCACTGCCAGCAGTTGTATCTACCCAAGCTCAAGTTCAAGCCAAAGTGGTCCCTCTACAAGCAGCCGTCACATCAATAAGCCCAGTAATCCCAGCTTCATCTCAAGCAGCCCAGGTGTCTGCAGCATCAACGACTATAACTAAGAAGAAGGTTCCCCCCCCTCCACCCCCTCGGTCTACGTCAGTGTCATTACCAGAGCTGCCACTTGTAAAAACTGTTCAGGATGTTACCCCTACTATGACCACAACAATAGCTAGGCGAGCCACAGTGACTGGCCAGCCAATGCAGTCCATAGTAGTGGATATACAGCCAAGAATGGAAGATATGCAACCAGAGAGTGCAGGTGTACCTCCAATAGTGACCCCAACCAGACATGGGCACGTTGTCATAATAGTGCCTAGTCTAGAAAATATGTCTCTGCTTGGAAAAACCCCACGAGATTTAGCTAGCACAGAGTCAATACCTGCTGCTGCTTCTCTGCCACAAAGTAGTGAAACAGCTTCAGAAATACCAAGCACAGATATAGCTTCTTTATCGACTAAGGTGTCATCAGTGCCAGTAGCTTCAGCTCCGCCACTTCCGCCTAAACCTATGGCCAGGGCACATTTAGTAGAAACAGTAGAAATACCTGTAGCAGGTATAACTCCACCACTTCCTACCACATTACCCAAGCCAAGTGTTTATCCAAAACCACTGGTTCCAACTGCAGTGACAACTGGTAGAGCAATAGTAGGACAAGTTTCTGATACAACAACTGGTCATGGTCAAATTGCCAAGCCTCCTCCTCCCATACCACCTAAGCCTGTATCAATTCCAGCTGGACTGGTTTTCAGCCACAAACCAGGAGAAAGTGTCAAGCCACCTCCTCCTCATGTGGCCCCTAAAGCTGCAACACTACCCAGGGTTAAAGAACCTCCAAATGCTCTCTCACTTAGCCTGACACGACCTGTTGAATCTAAGTTTGGAGCTATCTCCCCTAAATCACCTTTGTCTCCTAGACACGCCAAATGTTTGCAGACCTACGTGGTAATAACACTTCCATCTGAACCTGGCTCACCAACAGAAGTTATAACAGTCCAGGCACCAGTGAGACGGAGCTCCATCCCATCTACACAAGTGTCTGGGATACGGACGACACCTTTGGAGCAAAAAACACTTACTGAAGCATTTTCAGCACAGGCTACAATAAGAAGAGCCTCTGTCCCTACTGTTAGGCTTCCACCTCCAATAACCATAGCTCCAACTGTGGCAGTAGAGCAAGTGACAACCTCTGGAGAAGTGGCTAATCAAGTGCAGAGAGGTGATATGCCTTCTGAGGAGTTAGCACCATCTTTCGCTGATGTCATAGTAGTGTCATCAAGTCAGGAAATGTCTATTCTGGCACATAGTGTACCTCCCCCAATTAAGAAACCATATGTTCTACAGCAACAATCAATTGCTCAGCCACTGACACATGATACAACAATGGATGAAGTAATTTCAACAACCCAAGAGCCTGGAGTTATTTTTCAACCACTAACAGTCGAAGCAGCGGCAAGAGCCCAGTCTATACCACTTGATTTTAAACTTACTACAGAGGTCACAACAGTGCCGCCAGAGGTTTCAGCTGAAGCACTAGTTCCTCATGCCCCTATACCCACTGTACCTGTGCACCCACAGCCTCTTACAGAAGTTGTTTGTGTACCACTGCAGCCTGAAATACCGTTTGTTTCACTTGGTCCCGAAACTAGGGCAGCAGCAGTAACTACAACTGTTCTTTATCCACAATTTGCAACTCAAATTGAAATGCTACAAAATGAACAGGATGTGCCATCTCATGTCATAGTCACTGAGAGAGTTATGGTAAGATCACCAGTAATAGGAGTGAGTCATCACATTTCCTCTCAACAGCAACTTACAGAGATTGAAGCTACAGAGCAAGAATTGCCTCCAGTCTTTAACTATGCTGACGCCATTGCTGAATACCCATCAGTAACACAAACTGTTCAGCCTTTAGAAGATATGACACAGCAGCTATCTTCGCAGCACCCATGGCCTCCAGCTGAAGGGTTGACCCTCCCTACCAAGTTTGAAATACCTACAGAGGTGATAACAACTGACATTGCTATTACTATACCAGGAGTAGAAACAGTGTGTCCAGCAACCCATCCTGTACCTCAAGTTGTTGAAGTTACCCCAACACCGGAAGTGAATAAGTTAATGCAACTGACTACAGTTTCTAAGATGATAACTCCTACAATTGGTGAAGTAACACCTGAAGTATCACCTCTTGTAATGGAAGTCCAACCAATGGCAGTAAAACCAGAAGTACCTCATGTTATTCATATTCCACAGGTCTATGGAGGAGTTACATCCTCAGTCATGTCATACTCATCACCATTACTGGAGGTCATAGCAATGCAGCCTGAACGTGATACACCCACAGAGTTTATAACAAAGGATGTTGATGCAGGTGATTCATTGCCATCATCAGTGTTGCATCCCCTGGTGGCAAGGATGCCAGTTAGAGTTGTTTCAAATGAGGAAACCACCAGTGGAATTTGGACATCTGTATCTTCCATAGTACAGCCAAGTTACAGCACAAGTGAACTGTTTTCCTATCCAGCAGAATATGAAACACCTAGGTTTACAACTGCTGCCTTTGCTACCCCCAGGGGAGAATCCATAACTATGCAGCAATCATTACCATTGGCACATGTAGTGAACATGCCAGCTGAAAAAGATGTTGCTTTTGATCATTATGCAGTTCAGGTCCCCTACAGGAGAGAATATGTTCATTCAACAGAACAAAGACCACATGTATTAACTTATTCATCGGAATATGACCATCCTCTGGAGATAATAACAACTGAGGCATATACTAGGAAAACCTCAATCCCCACTGCACAGGACATTCCACATGGTGTATATGTTGCTCCAGTTACTATAACTAAGATTCAGCAAGAGTCTATTGAGAGCAAAGAGATTCGAGGACCAGAAAAGGTGGTCTCCAGTATGAGTCACATGATTTCTTCTTCAATTTCCACTTCAGGCCAACCTCCTGAGAGCCTGCCTAGCCTGGTCACTCAGGTGTTTACCACTGAGGTCCAGAGGACCACTGTCTCAGTTGTTCAACAAAGACTTCCACAAGTCCCTCAAAGCAGTGTACACATCACTATACAACCAGATGTAGCTAAAATACAACCTCTGTCAAAACAGAACAGGAAGATAATCTACCCTGGTGATGTTATGGATTTACGAACAATGAAGGTTGCCATAAAGATGACAGAACAGGGCATGGACCTGACACCACCTGAGTCATGTCGACAGTCTTTTTCAAGTGACTCTAGTTGGCGTCAAATCACAGCAGTGCAGCCTGAGATAGTCAATCTTAGTTCAGCGATCACACCTGCAACCACGCTGTCTGTGGTCACTGACAGCATCACAATAGTCACATGCACAGCAACCATTGCATCATACAACACCACTCCAGCAGAGAAACCACTGGATTTGCAGGGCCCTGTTACATCATTGCCTCTGTCTCTCGCCACATACAAATCATTTGAACCGCTGGCTCAGATTGTTTATAGACCTGTGAATTCGCAGCCCGCAGTCAGTGCTGTAGCATCCACAGCTCAAGACATACCTATAAATCTTTCCTTTGGAGCTCTGGTCACAGGAGGCAAACAGCAAATCACTTCCCCTGTAGCTATAAGCAATGGAGGTCCTTTCCTTTATTTGGAGGCCACAGGGGCCATGGATCTTTCTAACTACAGACCAATGAGAGCTATGGTTGCTTTGTCTGATTCAAGCCCAGGAGTCGTGACAACTATTGTAGAAGACGATGGGACTCCAGTAGACCTTACAGCGGGTAGGAGGAGTGTTTGCTGTGATGTCATTTACAAGCTACCATTTACAGGAAGCTGCAGAACACAGCCCGCAGTTACAGAGCAGCCTGAAAACCGTTTTGGCTACAGAGATGACCACTACCAATACGATAATGCTGGAATGTATGGTATCAAAAACATGACTGGAATAAAAGCTTCAATGTCTGAGACCAACCTCACAGAGGCAGGACTGTTTCCCTATGATCCAAAGAATGACTTTGACTATCTCAGTGGATCTTCAGATGGCGCTATTGACCTCACTGCTGCCAAACTTTCAGCTGGTGAGTTTGGGTGTATTTCTGCATGTTTACACGTGTTTCATTACCATTTTCTTTGCTTGCTTTACGGACTTCCATTAAACGTCTTACTACTGTATAATAAAAACTTTTATTTTAAAAATCCCATTCGTTTAAAGCTTATACTTTTACGGTTCAATACTCAATACTTATTGAAAGCATATGTTTGTATGTTCTTTTTCCAGTCTATCAATTCATGCTTGCGTAACTGTTTGATTTGCTTTGGTGTTATATGCACGTTTTCATTTAATATTAATACCTGCTTGTTTTGTTTTTTTCTTCTTACAGATGCATGTGTGTGCCTGCGTGTGATACCTCAATGTTTTGGTTTTGCATCTTGCTAGCCAAAATGACTGCAGATATGCATGTTACATGAGCCTTTTATATCCAAATTGCATGACCTTTAACTTGTTTAAAAATGTTTCTGAATTATAATGTATTTGATAAAGTAAATTAAGTAAAATATATATCTTTGGACTTATTATGGCAGGTAAAGCAGTTGACTACACTAGCAAAGCAACAGGAGTCTACCCTGGGATGACTACTGCTCCATACTCCAAGATCCCCGCAGCTGGGTTTGGAGTAAATGGAGTTCTAATAACCTCAGATGGAATAGTTTACTCCTCTGTTGCTGCCCCAGATCCTTCCACATATGCAGTTACAACTCAACCAGGCTCCATCTTTAGCGGTCCCCTACCACCTACATCAACAGTCCAGAACCAGTCATTGCCACATCCATATGGTTTTATTCCCAGTGCAGAACCTGGAGAGATTATTCCTTTTGATACAGGGCTACCTAAGGAGCTTCTCCCCACAGCTTTATCTGACATCATAACAGGCTATCCAGACATGTACTCAGATACTACCCTGGAAGCAATTGCTGCCTCTCTGGATGCCTTGGCCTCTTCCTCAATATTCCCTGGTTTAGACAACACCAAGATGGCCCAGTATCAGATGGAGAGGGAGTTTCTAGAGCTAGAGAAGCTTAAGCAGCTTTGTCTCGCCGAGGAGCTGGAGTGGGAGAGGCATGAGATCCAGCGTTACCGTGAACAGGAACAGCTCATGGTCCAAAGGGAGCTTGAGGAGCTCCAGGCTTTGAAACAGCAGCTTCTAATGCAACAAGAGGAAGAGCACCATGCCCACGTGGTGGCCCAGCAGGAGACCTATGCCCAGCAGAAAGACCAGTTGCAGCAAATCCAACAACTCCAACTGCAACTCCAGAGCCAGCTTGATGAGCACTACGGTAGCACTGGTACTACAGGAAACTTGCTAGAAGCTAAATATGCAGGGGTAGGGGACAGTGGCCAGTACTGGCCTGTCAAAGATGAGTCTACAACTTCATCTATTGGGACACAGTTAGAGGAGGGTCAGGATCAGCTTAAACTAGTTAAGAAACTACAAGCTGATCAGGACACAGGGAAAAGAATAATTGATAGTGGGGTACAGACAGATGATGAAGACTCAGCAGAGAAGCAGCCCGTAGGAAGGAGAAAGAAGAACAAGAGAAATAATGAGAGCTCAGCTCAGACTGATGATGAGGACCAAGATGAATGGGATGCTCCAACAAAAGCTCGACGACGCACTCGAAAACATAGCAGTGAGGGAAAACATGTCTCTAAGGTCACTAGCATTGCAATCCAGACAGTGGCAGAGATATCTGTCCAGACTGACCACTCTGGAACTATCAAACGACCACATGTCCAGATGGACACTAGGGTAGAAATTGTTAAACATATCTCAGCTCCAGAGAACTCTCAGAGGGGTGGAAGTCTGAGCTGTCAGACAGACTATGACAGAAGGTACACACCCATTGACGTTGGCTACAGCACACAGGTGAAAGCAGATGTCCCCTCAAAGTCTAAAGTCTTCTACACTTCAGTCTCTCCCATGTCCCCGGAAAAGTCACTTGGAGGGCAAAGAATGCTGACTGCGGACCCAAACAGATTTTCTTCTGGACCTCGGTCACTAAAGGCTGGTCAGAAGTCTCTCTCTGATCCTAAATCCCTTAGTCCTACCACAGACGACAGGATCGGTGGACATTATGCAGACAGCTATTCTGTAAGTCATAGCAGAATATAACAAAAATATTGTGATTAATGTTTTTATTAGAAACAATTATTTTTGTACATATATTTTTTTAAGAATGACAATTATTGAAAGAACTATCAACAGGGAATTATTGGCAGGAATGGGACGTTGTATTCAAAACTGTTTTAATGAGTGTATGATCACTTTATATATTAGAATCATTGTGTTTTTGTGGTCTTTCTATGAGGCCTTCGTATCTCCATTGGCAGCAGGTACTTTTTCCCATAGTTAGCCATGTTGTATTGCCATGTTTCTTGAGTAGCCCATTTTCAAATGAGCTAAAGGCCAAAGGTGAGGGATTTGTGGGGAAGTTGTTTGCAACCTGCAACCTCACCAGAAGATGTTAAATACAAAAATAATAGTGAAGTATGTAGTTAATTGTGTTTAAATTGTGTTTATCATAATGATTGAAAGATTTGTATAATTTGCTTCTATTTTCTAGAGCCGTGCCTCTCCCTCTGGTACAGGTAAGAAGGTAAAGCGAACATTACCAGACCCCCCTCCTGAGGATGACTCCCTGACAGGACGTTCAGGCTACAGCACCAACTCTGCTCGTCGCCGTCTTGCCCGCAGTACAACAATGGCCCGGGCAAAGATCCTTCAGGACATTGACAAGGAGCTTGATCTGGTGGAGAGAGAATCCTCTAAACTTCGCAAGAAACAAGCTGAGCTAGATGAAGAGGAAAAGGAGATTGATGCCAAATTACGGTGAGATGCCACCAATCTAACATTAACTATTGAGGATATACTGTAGGCTTGCACTGTTTTGTGAAAGTCTACAGCATATCCTAAATAGTTTAACCAATGAATATGTTATGAGTGATATAATTGCATTTATCCCTCTCATGCGAATCATTACTCCTAATTAATCTGCATGATTCCCCTCTTACCTTGATAGCTTAAGGGCTAAAAGGCTGCCTTGACATCATTCAGTGAGACCTCTCCACACTCAAACATGTCACACTCATATCAAAGGTACTAATGTGTGCAAACCCAGAACATTTTTGCCTCTTTGGTTGAAATGGCAAAAGAATTGTTTGTGCTAACAACATAAACCAATATATGCCCTTTTTCTTATTACTGTAGGTACCTGGAGATGGGTATCAACCGACGTAAGGATGCCTTACTTAAGGAGAGAGAGAAGAGAGAGCGGGCTTATCTCCAGGGGGTGGCGGAGGAAAGAGATTACATGTCAGACAGTGAGGTTAGCAACATCAGAGAAGCCAGGGGTGATGGCCTGGAGAGACCACGGACAGCTCCACAGTCTGAGTTTGACCAATTCATCCCACCTCAGACAGAAGCTGATTCCCAGTACAACACACTTACTAGTCCCTACTCTCACTATGGCCAATATGCCCCTCAGACCCAAACCACCAGTCACTACACCCAACAGAACCTATATCAGCAGCAGTCCCTTTACCAACAACAGGTATCTCCTTACTCAAGCCTTTCCCTCTCTCATGCCCAGGCTCAGTCAAGCAGCTACCAACATGCTCTGCACTTGCAGCAGGGTAAGCAGCGGCAAACAACCCTGTCTGATTTAGAGCCTAAGATCAGAACAAACTATGAAGTTATACACAACCAGCCTCTGCTCATTGTTCCAACCTCAACAGAAAGTGGTTATGGGGTTGCTCATCTTGGGGGCAAGTATGGCAGTTTGGACTTAAGGATAGGGATAGGGGAGAGGAGCATGGCGTCCAGTCCCATGTCTAGCATTTCTGCTGATTCCTTCTATGCTGATATTGAACACCACAATTCTAGGAACTACGTGCTGATAGAGGACATAGGGGAACTCACCAAGGCCTCAACAGGTCTGAGCAACACCGGTTTGGGATCTGGATTCAACATTCCTGATAAGGAGTTGTCCAAGGCAGACAGACTACTCAGGGCAGCAGAAGTCAGGCGCTCAGCGGAGGTACATCCCGTGTGTATATCTGTCATTGATCACTTATTCTCCTAAATTTAACACGTGTACATTCATGCATTTGTTATTGTGGCATTTGTTAATGTGTTCCATATTATTATTCCATTTTAGGTGGCAGATTTTTTAGGTTCATCTCGACTTCAGGGTTATGGTAAAGGAGAAGATGACACTATGGAGGAGCCTTATGAGCTAAAACTACTGAAGCAGCAGATCAAGCAAGAGTTCAGGCGAGGAAATGAAGGACTAGAACACTTAACAGGCCTTGGCCAGCCCCAGTATCTCCCTAGTGATGGCAGCTTTCGCCACTTCCCTAAAGGAGAAAAATATAGCATCGGCAGGCTCACTCTTGAAAAACAGGCTGCAAAGCAACTCCCAGCAGCTGTGCTTTACCAGAAACAAATGAAGAACAAAAAGGCCCAAATAGACCCTAAGGCCATCACAAAATGTTCTCCAATTCAGGAGACTAGGGACCTGGAGCCCGACTACGGCAGCTACATGGGATCTGGGGCCTCTTCTGTGACAAATATGGCTGCTACAGCTAGGTTGCTTCAGGATGAGATTACATTTGGGCTAAGAAAGAACTTGTCTGAGCAGCAAAAATATTTAGGCTCCTCCCTGGGTGCAAACTTAGCTGGTTCTCTTAATCTTGGGCAGTCCCTTGGACTTGGATCTACCATCAGGGCCACTGCCCATGATGATGGCACCTACCCAAGTGGCACCCGTTCCCGCCCCTCATCACGCCCCTCTTCCCGCCCCTCTTCTGTCTATGGCTTGGATCTATCCATCAAAAGAGACCTATCCAGCTCCTCACTTAGACTTAAAACAGAAGGAGAGGTCCTGGATGCAGCATTTGCCCCTGGGGTGGCCAGAGCAAAGCCAACTAGTTTACCTATCAGCCAAAGTAGGGGCCGACTCCCCATTGTGGCTCAGAACTCTGAGGAGGAGAGTCCTCTCAGCCCAGTGGGGCAGCCTATGGGTATGGCTAGAGCCTCAGCTGGACCTCTCCCTCCCATCTCTGCCGACTCCAGGGACCAATTTGGGTCAAGCCATTCTCTGCCAGAGGTACAGCAACATATGAGGGAGGAATCTCGGACAAGAGGCTATGATCGAGACATCGCATTTATCATGGATGACTTACAAGGCGCCATGTCTGACAGCGAAGGTAAATGGAGCCTCACACTGTTGCAGGAACTTGACTGTGTGGACCTGCTTGTCATGCATGCTAATGCTGAGTGGTCTTACTGAGTTATCTGGTTCTATTTCAAACAGCATTCCAGATCATTGTTGTTGTTGTTGGTTTCTATATCTCCCTCTATATGGTAAATGTCACATTAGGTGTTTGCACGTTGTTTCTTTTTTCTTTTTTTCGTAAGATTTCACTACCGGTACATAATACTCTGCTTGAGTTTATGTATGTCATTAATTAGTTCTACCCATGTTTGTCCTGTGATTAAATCAGCATGCTTTGGCTTTTTATTTTACAATAGCTTTACTTTATAGTTAAATTACCATCTTTACTCCTAAAACTCTGTGGTAACACAGCTGCACAAGTTCAATGGGCTTGAAGTAATTTATACATTCTGTCCACATTATGGATGCCTTATTCTTAGTGAGAGCCCAACATTTATTATTATTAATATACCCAGCAATATATGTTTCACAGTCACCCTAAAGTAAGTTTCTGCACTGGGGACACTCAGTGAATGCATCATAGATTAACACAGTTCACTCACTCACACTTCCAGTGTTTTGGCACATACTAATCAATGACTTTTCAGAAACTAAGCTATATGGCATGTAACATCTTTAAAAGTGCGTTTCTCTGAAAAACTTGCAGTCTAAGTTAAGCTTTGTATTGTGAAAAATCCTATCCTATGTTAGGCATTCTTAAATAGAACATTATTATATTAAGTACTTATTTCATATGTGAAGTGCCTCATAAACATACATTCTGTTAACTTTTACATAATATGTGTGTTTCAAAATGTTTGGTTAAGACTGTTTAAGATGATGAACAGACTAGACCATCTGGAAGCTGCAAAGCTGTGGTAAAAGTATTTTATATAAACAAGGTATGACAAGGAGTGTCTAGGGATTCTCTATATTTTTACAGCCCCTCCCCCACCAACCAAAAATAGTGTCTTTGTGAAAAGTAGGACCTTACCTCAGAAAAAAAAGTATAATGATTTACACCCTTTCAGCTGTTTGGGAATAAAACTAGAGGCAGCAAGTTCAAAAGAATACTGCTGAATCATTGTGACAAGAGATGTATTCAGGTGTTCTGCAGGTGCAGTGGAGGCATTCACTTAGTGCAGTTACTTCCCTCTAACTCCAGGGGGCTCATTTATAAACGGTGCATACGCACAAAAGATGGCGTACGCCAGTTTCTACCTATCTATTTCTATCTAGTTTTTTATATATACAGTCTATGGTTTCTAAGCACGGTTTGCGATTTATAAAAAACTAACTTGAAGTGAAAATGTGCGGTCCTCCACGCAAACTCTGACCCATGCGTACGCACTAAGCACAAAAACGGGAGAGACGAGAAACTGCGAAACCATTAGCAGAAGGAAGAATAGAGAGAAATATGTGGAAAAAATACCATAAATTAAATGTTACCTCTCATTTATCATATATGAAGAATTCACAACATTTGCAAACATTGATTAAACCCAATCTTAAAATGATTAAACAAACGCCTGTTTGAGACTCCTGGGTCCACACTAAAACATAACTTGGAGAAATAAATAAAATACGCAAATGGGTAAATAGGTTGTATAGATACGAGCATGGTTTTATATACTATGTTTAATCATGTTTTATGCAGTTCGCCAATAGCCTACTTGATAAGTCGCTCGTAAAACACAGGAGGTATGGAAAGAACACCATAATGGTAAATTGTACAGCTAATATAACACAACACATTAGTTGTATTTCCTTTAACTGGTGGATTATGGATATAGGCCTATAGTTGCTGATCGACAGCTGGAACACAAACCACCAAATACAAAAACAAAATTCAGATCCAGTCGTCATGACTCCGGAGGGATTCCCCGATCATTTCTTACAGTTTCTCATCAAGGGGGGGTGTCTCCTGTCCCCGGTACAAACAAAAATATGGGCGTTACCTGAAGCCCGCAAAAGCTGCACCGCATTTCGAGTTGATTGTGATTTATAAAGGGAAACCGGCGTAGGATAAGCCGTACGCAAGTCCTGTGCCGGTACGCAGTCTTTTATGAATCGGAAAGTGTCGATGCGTATTTATTTGCTTTGTCGTAAGCAACCTTCCCACGCCAATCCTACGCAAGGCTTTATACATGAGGCCCCAGGCTAGTCAGTGACACACACCAATATAAGGGTAATTATAAGTTTCAGGAGTTTCTGTGCACGAAAAACTATTCTGCAATGCAAGGACTTTCATTCAAGGACTACATGCAGTTATGTTCAGCCTTCTGTTGCAAATTACAAGTTCCACATTATTGTGTCTCTTATTTTGTTTTATTTGTAGGCCTATATGTCTTTAATTTTGTATGTGTATCTGAATGTGCATCCTTGCATGTTGTGAACTATATGTTATCCATTTCCATTTTAATAAAGTGAATGTTTTCTGCTTGTTGTTTGTTGCTGTGGGTGTCTCATTGCCATGTGAGATGTTCATGTCACATAGTAATGAACAGCAAATGTTGACGTGTACTATCTCCATCTTTGTAAGTGTGGGATTGTAAGTGTGCCATTAGGTAAGGGAAATCTAGTTTGGAAGACTTCAATACAACACTTAATAGGTAATACGTAAGATTTAATTAGGTACAATATGTTTTGCATTTAGCAGTAACAATTGTACTTAGGCACTGCAAAAATGGTTGACTTTTGCAAAACTCTTGCCTTATTAGGACCAAATGGAAGAAGGTTTTATGTCATCCACATTGAATATGAGAAAATAATGCTTAATTTGTTAAGCAATTTTGCCTTATTTTCTGGACCATTTGCAAAAGATCATCATGGGTAAACTCTTTGTCACGATATTTGACCCAAGGTAAAAGTGTCCATTTGCCTTGATTACAGCATTAAGTGATTCCAGGCTGGCTTTGAACAGAGATGATGCCAGAATCTTTCATGAAAGTATCAGACACGGTAGGGTATTTTACAGTACTAGTTAAAAACCTTTACTTTAATGTTTTTGCTATGACACAAATTGATATTAAGTGATAGATGACCTTTAAAATGCCCTGTCACATGTATTTTCTTATGTTTTTCATAATGCTACTGCTCCAATTTGTAGACTGTCTGACTCAGACCTGCAGTATTTTGAAGCATGCATCTTGACTATTGATCTCAATGCATGTGCTAAAGTATACTTTCAATACAAATCTAATTTTAGCACATTTGCTAGAGTTTGTTAGATTACTTAACATGTGTTGAACGCATTTCTGAAAAAATACATACAACTTTGTACCCCAGCTGGAGGCCCAAACTGGAATATAGAAGGTGAGACAGCATCACAATTCCATGTAGTTGAATAGACGCTGTATGCCTCCATGCCACATATCATGGTTCTGAATGATCCGCTTTTCAGGATGTTTTTGTAAACACACCCAACTCATTCTAGTATGACCCACATCTCAAAAATATCTTTGTCATTTAGCAGATCTACAGCGTTGACATGTTAGAACCCATCTTAATGGCACCAGATATGTTGTATGTGTAATATACTTAAGTGAGTAAAACATTATTCTGGAATGATCATAGTGCTTCTGTAAGCATATCACACCCATTTTCAGTATTCATGTTCATGCACTTTTGCATCACAGTCACCTATATATGATATGATCATGCGTGATAAGTGTGAATTATTATTGCAGTGTGCATATGTGTTAAGGCATTTTATCCAACTTTAATAAATATCTGAAGGCCGATGTTACCACTGTTGACTGATTCTACATCATCAAACTCTAATACTGATTAGAAGGGACAAGTGCCTTCTAATATAATTCATTTATCCACGAGGCAACATTTACCTTCAGAGTACAGTATATAGTCATCAAGCCATTTCTCCTCTTAATTATTGGTGCATTTCCTTGGTGGAATTATATCACTGATAATAAAAAGAGACATCTGCCAGAACTGCACATTCTGTCCTTGGCGACAATGTATTTTGTCATACACCGAAGTGATGATTCACATTTCTAAGGGAACACATTATCCACCAACCTGACTTGACTTGTTACTATGGCTTTAGATTACCTTTGAGCTTTGCAATAATTATGCTAAATACAACCAATACCATGTGTTAATAGTTACTTTAATAGTGTTATATATCTGTATAATTAACTTTTTTGGGGGGGGTCACATCACATTTTATTTTCAATACATTATAAATACATTACACTGCCAGTTAACAGTTATATTTTGATCCTATAAGCTACTGTGAAGGACTTAAAACATTTTATAAAATAATTCAGTGATAACAATTGTTTGGAATTTGTTAGCACTGCATAAGTAAACAAGGTGTATGTTTATATATTAATTTTCTTATCTTGTTATAACTTGTATTGTCGTTTAGACAATCAAAACAGACGATGGGGCAACTCTAACCCACATTTTATTGTCTGAAATGATTAAACAATAGATCATTTCCAAGGGTTTCTTTCAACAACAATATTTCATTTAAAGCGGTTATTAAAATATGGACAAAAAGAGCCATCACACTGAGACGGGATGCACTGCATGGTATCAAACGCATGAAAAACCTTAGGCTTTTGAAACATATTCATCCTTCATTAAAGGAGACCTATCATGCTATATTTGAATAATATTTTGTAGGACCATACCTATATAAGGTATATTTATACGTTTTCTTTTTCAAAATACCAAACAGATCATGCATTTTAGCCATGCCTCATTTTGCTCTATTTTGCTCTCCTCCACCCCTGTCTTTGCATGTGCTGCAGCTGACCACGCCCCCCTGCAAAGGAGGGGGCCGAGTTACGAGCATCATGTTACCATGCTGTTACCATGCTGTTACCATGCCACGGCAACCTCTCATTCCCCTGATAGGTGGAGAGTTGCCCATATAGGCAGAGCTCCTCGTCACTGACGTCAGACTATTTTCAAATCTGTATCAGTCTGTATCAGATCCGTTAAAGCCCCGTTTTTAGAGATTTTGGGTATGGAGGAAAAGAGAGAGGGTTGTGTTTTCTGACACTTGGTGAGTTCCCTGACACACCGGGGACACATATTCATGTATAAAAGATGTACAAAGGTGCATTTTGCATGATAGGTCCCCTTTAAGTGCTTGTAGTGATCATTGGATCCCACAGACAGCATGGATAGGCTGGAATTGAGTTTATACTTCTTTGTTTTCACCTATCTAGTCAGGACAGATCAGAGATCTTCCTGCATTTCTGCAAGTAGGGATGAATGTGTGACAAAACTAATGAATACTGCACTGTTTCTAAAGCTTGATCGCAAGAATGATATCTGCCCAAGTAGACATTACCATGTAGAGATTTGTCAAGCTAATGAGCATATAGTGTGTGTAGGCTGGTGACAACTATATTTTCCTGTCTAGCCTACCACCTAAGGAGAGAGGACACAGATTGGTTTGATAAGCCAGATGAGGGGCATCCACAGGCCAGGAGACAGGTGAGATCCAAGCCAACACAATTTAACCTCAAAATACTGTATGCCGTTTCCTTATCCAGATTTTTAAGTGTAAAATGTTTTCTAAAATGAAAATATGTTTTCTTCATGTTGTAAATATAAATTCAAATCCATCTCAGATGAAACTGGTACCATACGCCTTCCCTAACAATCACATCAAGCTGAAGAGAGACCCAAAGGACACCAGTGTGTCAGGTACAAGGCGGACATAAAACACACAGACATGCCATAATCACACTTCACTTTTTATAGTTACCAGGTACTGTAATTAAGATTTGCACATTTATTGTTCCCTCAGGCAACGGACTTGGTATCCGGGTGGTAGGTGGGAAGGAGATTCCAGGGAGCCGAGGACAGATTGGAGCCTACATCGCAAAGGTTATCCCTGGTGGTGTGGCAGAACAAACAGGACAAGTTGTAGAGGGTAAGAGAATAATGAATAAAAGGAGGGGGTATGAACTAAGTGTTATCTGCCTCATCTGGCAACTTAGTAACTAGTAATGTGTATCCTTTTTCAAGAGAACTTGTTAATTTGACACAATAAATTCATGACTTCGCAGCAGATGGAAAGGAAATTCCTTTCTGAGGCCTGAGAGATTAATGTTGTAAAGGCAAATATTTAAACTGTTGTTATTTATAGGGCAGTGTAAAAAGCCTTGAGTAAAAATCCATTCCTAAATCACTGAATTCCAGATGGGGATTTGAGCTGCTGCTGCAGTGTTGTGGTCTGTCATGAGTCATTCCCCAACACATCACATCCAAAAATGTTAAAAGCCTATCAACTCACCGTCCACAGCACAGGCCTGGGCTGTGTTAGTCATTAGGCTATATTTAGCATTGTTATGGACACACAAATGCACACGCACGCAAGCACGCACACACATACTGTACACAAAATGTATGAATGCTCAGAAGTCTTTACTCAATGTGTACACAAGTCCATTAGAATGTTCTAATGATCAACCTATAGTGTATTGCTGGACAGAGAGGAGCCTGAATATCATTGGCAATTTACACAGCTTGATTGTATTTTTAGGGCTAAATTGGTTCTTGTTTCCCTCTTTAAAAAGGGAACTCCTCTGTAGGGACTGTGATGACTTTGATATTACACAGGGGAGGGGGTGAAGGGCAGATCAACTGTGTATTTCTTCTTGGTCTATTTGTCCATTTTAGATTGGAAATAATAACACTGAACATGTTAAACTGGATTATTTTTTCATGCTAATAATAGCTGTGATATATAAAAAGGAACAGTGGTCAGGCGGGCAAGCTTCACTTCGCATACACAGAACTGCAACTATGCAAATGTGATGTTTATTTTTGTCTTACAGAATGGCAGAAGAACATGCCTTCAGGTGCAAAGAGAACTACAGTGGGGGAGGATATAGTGAATTATAGACAGAGAGCAGAGGGAATTATCTTTATGAGCAGTGGCTCATGTAGAAGGATAGGGAGTTATAATACAAACATTTAATATAACAGCAGCTTATGAGATGCTTTGAAAGCAGAAGTAAAATCGGAAGACCGGATTCCAGTTGTTTAAGTGAGGCCTCATACAGCTCAGACCTAGGTTGGAAGTTTGAGATTGCAGTGCACTGATGTTTGTAATTATACCATTAAGATACACATTTGAGTAATATTTGTAACTTATTCAGTCTAATTTATTCTACATCTGACATGTCATTCATTGTTTGAGTAAAAGCTGCAATAGTCCTTTATGCTCTATACTTGACCGCAGGTCATGGAGTGTAATTAGGTATCCGTAGACCTTTCTATGAGACATCTTTATTTACCTAACAGGTCTTCAGCCATGGTACATACATGCATACTAGATGCAGGCTTACATCAAGCCCCCAGGAAGTGCGCCGGACTCTGTGCCCAAAATTCGTTGTGTCCAAACGGCGGTACTACAATTTCCGTATCAGTCCTTGACGTCACTGGGCCCGGAAATACTTTTCCCAATAGGCGCTTTCACACCTGAGTACTTTTCCCAGTATAGTTCCGATATAGTTCCGAAAATGTGCGTTCACAGTCACACCAAAAAAATCCGGAACTAGAACTTAGTTCATGAGAACCTTTTCACCCCCTTTTCAGTCCCTGCTAAAGAGCAGGTACTTTCATGGGAGAAAAAGGTTCCCATTAGCCGCTTTCACACCAAATACTTTGCTGCACTTAGTGCCCGGCACTTAGTACCCCCATGGAACTAAGTACAGATCGCGTTCACACCGGAATAAGTTCCCTGAGGGAAGATTACGCAAATGGAGTCGCTGACGTCACTTCTTCTTCTTCTGCTTTGGGTTTACTGGCAGGCCGCAAACAACTTCACGGTGTATACTGCCGCCCAAAATCCCCGGCCGGAAGTCCCCGGAGTTGGGGACTGGCTTCAGTATAAGCTGCTGGGACTCCCAGCAGCTTCTACAGAAGCCTTCCGAGTAAATCCCCAGAACGCCGACGCCTCCTCATCACTCCACCACTCCAATGTTTTTTTTTCTTTATTCCAGGTACCTCAAGGTGGCTTTCCCTCCCTGTAGCCGAGAGATGATGTCTTTGACCTATGTCGGCAGCCTCCGCCCCAGAGGCAGAAAGGGAAATCTCGACGGAGTAACCGCGTACTTCCGTTTTACCGTTGAAAAATCTCACGGCTTTGCAGTAATGGGCAGTAACGGACCGACAGTTTCGTCTCATTGGGCATACACCGCGTCACTCAACGGGGGACATTCGGAGCGGGGGGCTCGAGGGTGAGAGGCGTTCTACCCTTACGCGGCCTGAGACTCCTGTATTATTAACGCAACACAGGTTTGTCGTCATGATGTTAAGGCATAGTCAGATTTATTTGGATGGTCGTACTTGATTAAAGTTATCGGGAATAAGATTAGTAATCCAGGATTTCACATTTTACCGTGATTTTTCGGTTAGATCATAATATATAAAGAGAGAGGTATCTCACGGTTCTATTCAATCGTTAAACTGGTGAAGGCCATAGAACTGTTTTTGGTTACGTTAAAGAGGTATCCTAAAACCTTTTATCGAGCTTTTTATTCCAGAACACCCAACTGTGTTTTAACTTCTCTGTCTAGGTGCAAAACAAGTCGGCCTATTATAGGTGTACAGATGGTGATGAAAATATTAAAAAGATTAGATTAGATAGCTAGTATTAGATAGCTAAATCTAAGGTACTAAGCTATCTCACCTCTTTAACGTCAAACAAAAAACAGCTGTCCTTGGCCTTCTTCAAATGAAGGCCCAAAATCCTGCCCGCAGGTTACCGTGATATTACTCGTCGAGAGTTATCCTTCTTGCTCTGGCACTAGTCTTTATCCGCACAAAGTGTGGTCTCATGAAAAGGGGCATGAAAGGTAATCAAGGCAATCACGGACCTTAAAACGCAAGTTGTCTGGTTTCTCTCATAATCAAGGTTCTTGAAAATGGGGGTTAAAATCACCGACGATCTCTCCACCATGATAGGACCCTCTTTTTTCATGGTTAAAGCTAACCGACCCGCTTAACGTTTGGTGCGGGGCATTTTGAGACTTTCAAAACACAAATTTTGGCGGTAACATAAACCCCGAGCCGGTATTCGTAATAATCGCAATCGAGGGGCGCGGCGTGGTTGCCTCTGTCTTATTGAATAGGGCGTTTGGCGTTCTT